GATCTGCCATCTTTTGAATCTGTTCTTTGCCTCTGCACTTTCTACATCTAACGCACTTGTCGATAATACTGATAACTCTACTCTTCTCTCCAACAATCCAATATCCTGCACTTCTGATTGCTCCACGTGTGAAGTGTCTCCCTTGATGCTTAACTTGTGTGTGATAATAATGGATTAATAAGTCAGATACATAGTGGGATCCTGGAATAATTATAGGATGAGCAGCACGTTCTCCAATTCCAGCATTACTGAGGCGCCCACCGACACGAAGAAGCCCTTTGTCATCTATATATGGATCTAGCTTAATGAGTGGACTCGCCTTTGGAAGTGGTCGTCAGCTTTCTAACAGGTCCAATTCTGCTTTGAACACAGTAGACTGGGTAGTGCGTATAACAATTTGACTTGCCTCAGCTAAGTCGTCTGGTGTGGTTGATGACGTGCAAATATGCCAACCTTTGCAGCTTTTAGGTTGTGTGGGCTTGTTGCCGAATGAACGTGTTATATGGAGTAGGTTAACTATTGCTCGTAAGAGTTTGAACCAATCAGAGAACCTGTGAAACCTTTCTGCTCCGAGTCCCGAGCTTGGCTGCAATTTTGTAGAATAAGTCTTAACAACGGGTCTAACTTCGGGGTCTTCTTCTTTGATTGGAAATTCGGTTGGTTGAATATCTGCTGTAGTGCCTTTGTTACGGAGAAATTCAGGGCCTTTTAGCCATTCAGAAGACGCTAGTCCAGACGAGGTAATACCTCTAGAAGGCAGGTCGGCTGGATTCTTGTCTGACTGTATATAACGCCACTGTACGGATTGTGTGGTGTTGAGTATACGCTCTACTTTGTTGCTAACATATACATAGAATCGCCTGGTTTGATTTGATATATATCCGAGTACTAACCGGCTGTCCGAATAGTAAACCATCTCGTCCAATTTTAAGTCGAGTTCGTCGGAAATAAAGTCGGCTATTTCTGCGCCTAACACTGCAGCACAAAGTTCCAGTCTTGGTATTGTAGTTGCTTGCTTCGGAGCTAATTTTGCTTTACCAAGTACAAAACTCACATGGATGGCTGACGGCTCCAATGGCTTGGGTCGACGCATCAACGAATGTATGTAATTCACGCCTTTGCGCTTGGGTACTTGGAACAGGTGTATATGCTCGAGGAATGTAGCTTTCTGCCAAGATGGGTAAGGATGCCTGCCAATTGCGCCATGCCGACTGTGTGTGTTTGGGCAGAGGATGATCCCAATCAAGAGACTTTTCGCTGGTCATCTCTCTCAGCAACAGTTTCCCCTGAATTAGGACTGGAGCAGCGATACCAATAGAATCGTAGATGCTGTTTATTTCGGCTAACACTCCTCGTTTGGTGAAAGGTCTCTCTTCTTCTCCAATTCTGAATGTGAACACGTCACGCTTTAGGTCCCAATATACTCCTAAAGACCTTTGGATTGGAGGTGCTTGTACGTTGAGATCTAGGTCTTCGCTGGAAAAGGCTCCCATTACTTCGACATTGTTGGAGGCAATTTTGTGAAGACGCAAATTTGCAGTTGCTAACATTGCCTGAGTGCGTTGTAGCAGGTCAATAGCTTTGTCTGGAGTGGGGAGAGCTTTTAGACCGTCGTCAACGTAGAAGTTACGGTTCACGAATTCTCGAGCGTCTTTGCCAAACGTGTCTTCAGCATCCTGGGCAGTCTTGCGCAAGCCAAATGTTGCAACAGCTGGTGATGGTGAATTACCGAATGTATGGACTTTCATTCTATAATCCACGATTGCTCCATCCGGATAGTCATTCTCGAACCATAGGAATCTAAGGTAGTCTCTATGGTCTTCTTTTACCTGAAATGAATGGAACATTTGCTCTATGTCTGCTATGACTGCGACGACGTCTTCCCTGAACCGTAATAAGACGCCTATGAGGTTATTGGATAGATCTGGTCCAGTCATGAGCACGCTATTTAGAGAGACACCATGATAATCCGCGCTTGAGTCGAATACCACTCGGATCTTGTCCGGCTTCTTCGGGTGGTATACGGGAAAGTAAGGCAGATACCATCGCTCTCCATCACCGTCGGAAATTACTTGTTCCGCGTGATCCTTAGTAATCATGGTTGTCATGAACTGTAGATACTGGTCTTTCATCTTTGACTTTCTTGAGAAAGACTTAAGTAGGGAATGAAATCGTTTCATCGCATCGTGACGGTTGTTAGGTAACGGTGGCCTGGACATGCGAAATGGAAGTGGAGCGACCCAATTCCCAGTCTCACTTTTTGAGAACTCGGATGTCATGATCTTTAAGAACTGTCTATCTTCTATGGAGCTACCGACTTTGTTATCAAACTTGGACACACGAAAAACGTCCTCCCCCGGGTTGGGCCATCGTCTACCAGCATAGTGCGTTTCTGGATCTGGTGGGTGGGCTGGGTGTGAAATGTCGAAATGGTTTGTACATGACTCGAAACAGGAAGGACGTCCGTTCGGCAGGACATGTGTACGGAATGTATTGACAGTGTTACTATGGTGCGCTTTTCCTATGCAAACTTCTCCGATCACCACCCAGCCTAAGTCTAGTCGATGTCCCCATGGTGAGTTGTTATGTCCGTTGCGAACTTCACGGACTTTATGGACCTGTGGTGCATCTCGCCCCAGGAGTATTAGTATATCTGCGTTGGGGTCAATTTCCTTCGCAATTGACTTTAGATGCGGATGATGTTCTGCTACTTCTGGAATAGGTATCTCCTCCTTACAATCGGGAATTGCATTACATTCAATTAATGGTGGAGCAGGTATGGATACTTGACCGTCGACGGATTCTATAATAAGTCATGTAATGCAACGACCGGCTGTGTTCTATCCAGCTAGTTAACCTTCAACAGGTCGAACAGCTTGGATTTGGCCAGGGACTTGTTACTTTGATCATCTAGGACGGCATAAGTGGTAATCACGTTTTCAGGATTGCCGTCGATATATACTCGTGCCAAACATATTTTGGAGCAAGATCTTCCAGATGGCTTGTTGCGGCAAACTTGGGTGCATTTCGATAATACCGGTCTTCGCTCCCCGCCATGCGCTTCGTCGGCATGTGTGTCAACGTGGAGGAAATCTTTGTGCCGATTACCACCACAGATTGAACACGAAACCTTAGCTTTACAGTTTCTTGCAATATGGGCTGTGGATGCCACACACCGAAAACAAATCTTTGAATACCTCAACAGTGAACGTTTTTCCTCCATCGGCATCCTAAGGAACGCTCTGCAATCAGTCAGTGGATGAGGAGTCCTGTGTATAGGACATTTGGTATCTATGTCTATACCATCTGATGCCGGATTGTCATGAGCCTTGGCAACACCAGTCAATTTTGTCAGAACGTTAGTGCGATATGGAGGTCTGGCAGGACCACTCAGCCTTCTTGGGTTAAGATGTGTTTTCGATTCTACCTCGTGGGTAGACAGCATAAGACTTTTGTCGTTTCGTTCTTTTGCAAAGTCTGTGACAAACTTGCTTATAAAAATTTTTTTTCTTTGTGATGAAAAGAAATTAAATGGTGGGAATTGACCTTCCTTCTGTTCTTTATAGTGGAACGCTCGTGTTCGCCACTTCTCTTGGATATCTCGTGGTAGCTTGGCTACAAGGGGGTTAACGCCCATGAATGTGTCTAAATAGTTAAGCCCTGGAAGGCCACCATCTACTCTGGCTTGTTCTACCATTTGTGCGAGGTCTGCAAATTTTCTAAGCTCTTCGTAGTGGCCCTTAGCTATATCTGGGAATCTAAAAAGCTTGTTGATTTGTGCCGTCGTAACTATTTCGGGAATGCCATACTTTTCTTGTAACCGCTCCCACACAACATTTAAACCTTTCGCAGGGTCGGAGATGTGGACGGCCCTTGCACGTTTCACAATTTCTGCTGATTTAGCACCGGTGTAATTAAGTATGAGGTCGGTCTCCTCCGATGGACTTACTGGAATACCGCTGATTGCATTCTTGAAGGACAATTTCCAGGCTCTGAAGTTTTCCGGCTCGTCATCGAATGTAGGAATGCAAGTTGTGACGAGGTCGCGACGTGCGTAGAGTTTCATTATTCCCTGGAGAAGTTCGGAAACTGGAACTGTCGTTGATATTTCTTTTGACGAATTTTGAACGTTGCTATCCAACTTGGCATCTCCTGTAGGGTGTGCTTCCGGGGGTGAATCTGGAACAGTGCATTCCAACTTTACATGTCCAGTAGTGGTCGGTTGCTGGGTTGATTCTTGAACAACAGGGTCTAGATCTTGGTTAAGCTTATTGGATACTGGATTTGTTTCTGGTGGAGTTTGTGCTTGCTCCGGCAGGCTGCTAACATACTCTGCGACGAAAAGGGACGGTTCAATCACAGGCACGTCAGCTAACGAGTCTTCATTAAACTCCGTTCTTAAGTGCTGAAGCAACTCTTGTAGTACTTTAGATCTGGCATCTGCAGCTGCTGCAGCCTCTTCTTGGAGCAGAGATTCGTATGCCGCATTTGCCTTGGCGGCCTCTATCTGCGCTGCAGCCCTTTCCTGTGCGTATTTTGCGCGAGCCAACTGCATGGCGGCATCGGCCCGCGCCTCTGCAGCTGTCACGGCAAGTTGTGAAATTGATGACGAGCGAGAGCGTCTCGAACCTGATTCACTACTCCTTCTCATTGCCATTCTTCTTTTATAGTAGTCGTCTAAATATGCCACAGTCTTTTTACTATGCTGGCCTCACGTCGGAGGATGTCCGGGACCGCTATCCAGCTAGTTAACCAACAATCAGTCAATGCAACTCAACAGACACAAGTACGGCTTTCTGAGTCCGTTTAATCAACAATGACATAAATGTATGCGTGCGTGTGTGCGTGCGTGCGGTAACTGAAATATATAAATGAAAAAAGCATAGCAATAAGCATAGGCTAGCGTAAACGCCGCCACATCCACACAATAACGTGTAGATATTTAACTGTATATCGAACAGCCTGGGGGCCGCCCACATAAATGGCGTAAATCAGTACGATAAATACAAACATAGGGCTCAGTTATAATAATAAAACGTCATCATTAAACGTCTATAACAAGCCTATGTATAAGCTTAGGGCCTACACAGACAGCTATAAGCCTATGCCCTACTTTGCTACTGTACGGTATGAAATACTGGTAATCGACAATAGTAATATAATGCTAGTAACATCCGATATAAACGTTAAACATAACTGAGACTTTAGCAAGTTATTATATAGTGTAAATCGTAGAAAGAGTGATTAATTACTCACAAAGACGGTTCTTGTGGCAGGCTACATTATGCATTATACATCTTCGTCCTAGCTCTATTAACAACAGTACCAATGTTTTGTCTCGTCTATTTCTAAACTCAGCATCTACATGAACATATGACTCATCTGCATACCGCAGACGAACATAAACATAGATAAAGCGTTCGCAACGTAGCCTAGTAACCAATATAGTACTACTATACTGAGATAGGAGACAGCACAAATGCATATTATGTTTCCCCAGTCAGAGAAAAGAAGCTCACCACAAATTTTTTATCCATGTTTTAAATCTTGTTCTGTGGACAGATTTTTTGTAATCTACATTTTTCAATTATTTGTATTGATATATTTTAATAATATTATTGTTTTGTTAATAATAATATTATGGTGTGAATGATATTTAGTATAGTATAGTAGCAATTCAATGAAGCAGTCTTTTCAGGTTTTGCCTAATAATTTTATCTTTAGTAATGTCCATTCGAACAAAAAAAAATAACTGTAACATTTGTTTTACTGTACTAATACAGGTTATGTATAAAATCCTATTACTGTACAATGTTTCTTCATTGCAATATTCAGCTCATCATCATAAAGGCTTTGTAAAGTTACCTCTCTATATCAGTGACAAATCACGGTATCAAATTAAATTCTCAGTATTCTTGATGCTTAATTTTAGTGTAAGAATCACTAAGGTTAAAAAATGAGTTGCAAACTAAACTTAAGTTATTAATTGTAGTTGTTTTCATATAATTTCTAGTGCAAGAAATATACAGTATATTTTTTTATTAACAGTCGACTTCAGTGAATATATTAGTATAAAACTTCAGTATATTAACTTAGTAGTTTTAGCACTTGACATTCATTTGTATAAATGTTATTATAATATTATATAGTTGTGACTGCAAAAGTAATAAATATTAATCCAAGATCTACAGTACAAAATTGTTTTTTTTTTGTCATTTTATCGTTATGATTTATCATTATCATAAGCATCATTTAAAGTCTGTTGATTCCTGCACTCTAGGGTTAGACCTAAATTTATACATGCATACTTGAATACATATTTACATACATACTATGTACAGACACACATTATGATAATATATTATTCAATATAATATTTATATTATACCTATTTTTATAGCCATAATTATAGGATAAAACCCTGAATGTCAAGCCAGATGATGCATTATTAGCAATAAAATTTAACAGAAAAATCTGTCCAAGAATTAGGAAATACTTCAACAGAAACATTAACCCACCATTTTACTTGTAATATATGATTGGTGAGATATGATTGTCATACCGCCAGACAACGAGGGCTTTGTTCCAGTTTACACAATGTAATAATAATATAAACTTTATGTAAATATATATATATATATATATATATATATATATATATATATATATTATATCTAAAAATATAAATACATACTTGTAAAAATATTTACATACATAATA